CGTTTCGCTGACATCGTCAAAGAGCCTTGCCATTCTTAGCACAACACTAAAACTCGTCAAGGAGACAAGTGAAGTCCATCCTTTGATCAATTGTCTGCTAAACAGTTGTGGTATCTTTTCTTTATCCTAGGCTATTCACCTATCCTATATCCTCATACCATCCCTTCACTATCACAATTTCTTAATTGTTATTTAAATATGGCATGGTGTGTCCTTTTGAGCGGATTTCATGAAACCTCTTTACAACCCCCACTGGCTTTCTCATCTCACCCCCCTATCATTGTGCTGGGAAAGTTGATCTGAATCTACCATATTAATCCGCAATCCTCTTCCCATAAGTCCTATTAGAGTCTACCTCTTGCTCAGTAGCATTCATCTCCTATATCCCTGGTTCAAGTATCCCACTTGACTCCTGCCACCCTATTTGTGCTACTCGAGACGTTACTTCCCACACTCTGCCTCAAGCCTTTAGTGGCATGTATACTCCCGCCTCGTTGACTAAGTCGGCAAAGTCTGGATTCTCAAGCTGGATTGGAGACTAATTTGAGGTTATAGATCTCGAGTAATTCTCATTATCAAGTCTTTGCTTCATGAGCCAAGTCTATGATCAAACACGCCTACTGTTAACCAACCAGCTCTAGTCTCCACCGCCTCTATTGTGCTTCTATCCATAATGTCAAGTCTATGACTTCCTATGTCATAGTCTCTTGTGTGCCATCCCACAAATGTTGTGGATCTACTTGTTATGATTAGGCTCACTGTAAACGTCTCCTCTTGGTTTAAGATTGTTCCTTTCTGGTCTCCTTGCGATTTTATTTTCTAAAATTAAAGATGTTACCTTGATCCAGTCGTCTTCTTTTTGCTGATATTCTTAGGGTTTGCTTAGGCAATATGCAAAGCTTTTGCTGATCCTGCCTTCTTTAAGTCTTCTGTTAGATTTCTTTAGATCAGTATATCGATAGTCTCTCGATTCTTTCGTTTTCTCGTATTGTTACCATATTCAGCCAGCCTTTCTGTCGATTCCGTGTCCCGTCCGTGCAATGTGTTCCGCTATTTCGGATATTTCAGTTTTCGTGCTTTTACAGTCTTTGATGCTGCTTGAATCGTAGGCCAATCTTTCTTCCTGCTCCACCAATATACTACAACGACAATAACAAATCCAATTACTAAAACTATTTACAAGCTCCACGAGAAAAGTGGCTTTGGGATGTGTAAGAAAGCTGAGCTGTAAATAATAATGATACCGATTAAATTAGGAGGTAAAGGCATGGCTGAGATATTATTGCCTTGAATCACTGACTTGTAGAATATATAAAAGCTGGACAGTCAAAGTGAAATATCAGCCCGCTGAAGATAAGTGGCTAAAATCGGCAGAATAATCTACAATTCTAAAAGCAACACAATAAGAGTCTAAATAAAAGTATAAGATTATATGACCCCTGAGGAGAAAGCGGCATAAATGAAGCTAGTAGGCGAGATTATTTTACTGTTAGTTATAAGATTGACCAAGCATATTCGACATAATACTCCACATTGCTCAATGGCTTATAGAACTAGGCTTGAATGGTAGTGAACCAGCATAAGAGCAGATTGGCACATTAAGTTAACAACCAAGTGAAAAAATTAGTTAGAAATGAAAATAAGGTAAGTGAACTAGGAGAAAAATAATGATATAATATGAGCTCCCATGAATACATTTTAGGTTGTCAACTTTAAAAGGATTTTGTATATGTAAGGCATTCCCTCAGTAGTATGTTTTGGTAAGATGAAGTTGGAACTTGCGAAAATCCAAACAATATAAAAGGCAAATTGATTAATGGCAATGAACAAAAATTGGGAATATGGATTCCAATGATTCCAAAACACAAGCACGGACAAAAAATGAATACTAGAAATAGCAACAGCAGGGAGTGGTACGGATAAATCGAGTATACTCAACCAAAATACCGAAATAAACTCACCTTAGCATAAATAGAAAACACTGAGCAGGGTACAAGTCCCGACCTATTAGGCTCATATACTAAATCAGGTTGCGACAACGCAGCGTCCTGACTATCTCGATCTCGACCTGCTTTTCTGCTACGCTGTTGAGGAATAGCTCGATAACTATAGGAGTCGTCGTAACTGCTGCTTGAGACGCTGTCACGAAGCTGGACAAAGTCGATCATATCGATAGCCCCGATGCCTGGTAGACCACGCGCAGATCGGATGTTGTGACCTTGGGCACCAATAGCAAGGCCGACAAGAGGCTGTTCCACTCGGAATACTTCATGGTGCGCAAACAATGGATCATTCACAGCAGACAGGTCACCATCAAGACCCCCTTGTGTCGTACGCCTCATCCGAGGTGGCCCATGGAGAAAAGAACGTCCAAGCGAGGCGTAACCACTACGGGAGCC